CAGACAATCCACCGCAGCCGTTGGCACTTTCGTCAAGTTGGCTATGGCTTCTTTAAAGACGTCCGCCATAGCCTTTCCAATTGCCTGTGGACTACTTAGGGGGAGAGTCTTCTTCCCGCCATAGCCACATGAAATAGAGCGCGGTAAGGCGGGAAGAAGACTTAGGGACAGTCTTTCTTCTTCCCTTCACGCCATCCATGTTCAGTGGAAGGGCATGAAAATGGCGCGAAGGGAAAGAAAAAGACTCTCCCGGCCATAGAGGCTTATAGCGACCGGGACCGGGTGAGGGTTTAGGAAACTTGTCATAGCCGATACAGTGTAGCCACACTTTTGCCGCTATCGCCATACTACCGTCTTCACCCGAATAGAACGCCCGGTCATTATAGCCGTATTTGGTGCAATTTTCAGTCTAGATGCAGTGACAATGACCGGGCGTTCTATTCGGGTGAAGACGGTAGGCTTATATCGAGCTGACTTTAAAAGATGAAACGGGCGTAACTCATACTCGCACTGGGACTCTGTTCCTCCCCTCTCTCCCCCCCCCGCCCCCCCTCCCCTCCCTCTTGGCACCGTGTGTTTGACTGAATCCAAATCTGGCGAAGTTCAGTTGAGGAAGCCGGGAGTGTTTGAGTATGCCCTAAGTCGATAACCACTTTCTTCAACGAGGACACTCCCCTCCCTCACGGACGGATGGGTATGATCACACATCAAGCATTCTCCTCGTTCAGGACACAGTGCGTGTTTGCTTCCCTTTTAGGAAAGTGCGCTCTGTCCGACCTCCTTCGTAGAGCCTCGGATGCCGTCGTCTAGCAGGAGGTTTACGCAAACATGGCGACCAATGAGATGTTGAAGCGGCTTGTGGCAGGTCCACGTGTCCCATCGCCAGCTGTCTTGTCCTTCTCGCCTTGCACTGTACAGCTTCTTCGAGTCCGGAGTGACGGGGGGGGTGTCGACGTGGAGGGATGTAATCGCAGTCAGTGACGGACCACACGTGGTTAACCAGGGGTGTTATTTTCGACGAATTTTGCACCGAATTGCACTGAAATTGTCATATTGTGCTGATTTTTTGCTATTTTTCTTGTTTTTCTTTTTGTGTGATATATATGTGCTTTAGGGTACGTCATGTGTGCAGTTTTGACATGTTTGGATCAATAATGAAAAAGTTGGCATTTTGTTGAATTCGTTGGACGCTTCATTTTGACTCGGACAGTGTCTTTGTGTTAGGGTTTCATAGTGTTTTTTTTTTTTTGTTTTTTGTTTTTTTTTTTGATGAAATTCGCACCGCAATTGCCAACGAAAACGGCGAATATTTGGGCCCCCGTTAACCGTCTCTCTGACGGACACGATGTCGAAGTAAACGTGAGGGATTATGTACACGTGGAGGCAAAGTAAGACCACGTGGAGACCACGTGGAGGCTGATTACCCCGTATGATGTACACGGGTAGGCAAAGTAAGACCACGTGGAGGCTGATTACTCCGTAAGTCAAACGTGACGGAAGTTAAGTGGCAATGTCCACGTGGAGGCTGAGGAGGAGGAGGATATGCTGTGCGAGTGATGTGGCAATGGACAAGGTCGACCACACAGCCATAGCAGCCAGGTGACGGATGACGTGGCAGATTATAACAGGACGGAGGGCACGGAGAGAGGTCGAGGACCAATGACGGGGTGATGGTGGTTATGTCGAAGTGAGCTGGAAGCGAGAAGGGCGATTTCGTGAGGGCGGGGGCAGCAGAGGTTCTGTTGAAAGGGGGAGGGGGGGGGGGGGAGATGATGGGAGAGAAGACGAGGAAGTAACCGTAGCTGGGCTCATCGACGGGGGGGGTCGAGAAATGTCGAAGGAAGGAATATAGGAATCGAAATTGCACGTGAGATGTAACTTGTGGTTCGCGAGAATGGGATTTGCATGTGAGATGTTTAACTTGTGGTTCGCGAGAATGGGAGAGACATTGATTCGCTGTCTGGTTGACACGAATGCCGGATTGACTGTCAAAGCCGCGAAGACTTGAAATTGTGATTGGTTGCTGATTGGTTGGTGTGCTTCGTGTGGGTGAGTGCTGGTCCAAGTGGCAGCCGGAGGAGAGTTTGATTGGGTGATTGGTTGAGCGATTGATTGATTGGTTGAGCGATTGATTGATTGGTTGATTGGTTGAGCGATTGATTGATTGGTTGTTTGATGCGGCCGCATGTGAAGATCAGCCATATCGAGGATTCCGGCATCGTTGATCGCACTCAAAATAAAATGCTTGTCGAGGGCCGGAATGCGTCGAACATGTCCAGATTCGGCCACTTATTCCAATCCTCTTTGGCCACTTATTCCACCCTCTTTGCCACTGGGATCTGGCCCCAAACCACAAGGCCGCATAAGCCTCAGGTGCTCGACCAACTGATCTAAGGGCCACCAGTACCGCGCCGCGTCGGGCTGGGTACCGACCGACGAACGACCGGCAATGAAGTCCGAGGATCGGGCTACCGGTAGTCTGAGCCTCGGACTTGATAGCTGGGCGAGGTACTGGTGGTTTAACTGGGACCGCGCGGGGCGCAGGGGCGCAGCCAGGGTCCCCGCGCTGCCAGGGTATCGGAGATTGTAGATTCGGGGGCTGCAGGGATTATTATGCGAGGCAGCTTATTTCATTATATAACACATTATATCTATGTAGATGCTATGTCGACTAGGTGCATTAGGATGAGTCCAACATTTCTGGAAGGTTTCTAAATGCATGTAGAGTGTTGTGTTGTGGAGTGAGGCTCCTGGTTGGAGATTGTTCGTGACTTAGCAGAGATGTTGGGGAGAAGAGTGACGAATGAATCTTAGAGTATCTGATGGCAATTTTGTTCATAGTTTAGTGCATTTGACGGCAATGATGCTTAGAGCTTAGTAGGAAAAATGCTTTGTTGAGGCAGCCTAAGCTTGAGAGAGGGCTTTGCTGTATTATATTATACAGCAATGTATATGCAGCGACTAGCCTACCAGAGCTTGGCAATGTGCTGTTGCGGAAATGGAAGGAACCCCAAAACACGGCCGCATTCAGGCATTGAGGGAACCCATGGCCCCTACTGGACCTTGTCCCCTATACAATGACGAAATAAAAAATGGACAATTTGTGAGACACCCCTATAAGTTGAGCTATATGCCAAAATGCACCTAAAAGATCTGGGTAGACCGGAACACTCTGCTGACACAAAACCTGTCATCTTTGCAAAATACCCGCATCGGGTACTGTCCATGTTTGCAAAATGTCTTCGTACTTGCCAACTTTTCCCAGGCCTTCATTATTTGCGTTTCACCCCTAGCGGCGCAGGTCTTCTTTGCGTTTTGCCCCCGCGCTGTGCGAGAGAGCGAGAGAGAGAGAGACTGCAACGAAACACCTAACCATGTGCACAGAGCACAAACGTGGCAAAACACCAGTATTACAGACAAATGTATCGCAGCAGTGGCATGATGAAAGCACAAAATACAGGGAGGACACATCTATAACAACGTCTACCACAGACGGCCACATACAGCATGTGCCCTCTACATCTCAGGAAAAAGAAATAGCGCGAACGCGAATTTTCAAATTTTTCGACCAAAAAAAAAGGAGCTGTCCTCGCAATCCTTCTTCCCCCGAACACAACGTGCGGTCATTATTGCCGCACCAAGACTCAGAGTTGGGCTGTCTACACTCTTACAGTTTCCACAGCTGTCAGAAAAAAAACAAAAAACAAATCGAAAGTCGGCCGTTGACAGTTTTCTTAAAGTAAGCTCCACATTCTTCTCTCATCTATCTGATGCTCTCACTGGTCTATTTATAGTACGGGGGAACACCAACCGACCCCCGGATGTCTCCCTAGCCCACGGGCCCAAGGGGGTAGGTTGGCACCACAGCAGTGGTGCAAGAGCAAGGCTGTACCAGTCCCTCATCACGCCCCCCCTTCGCCACACAGGCTGTCCAGGTGCATGGTTTTTGGTCAGTCATGGCCAAAATGGGACTCCGCCCGCCTTTCCACAGGGCACGGCAGTCAGCCAACGGAACAGTCCCAGACTGACAATGCAAATTCGAACGCAGAACGCAATTCTCGAAAGGCAGGTGGGGCACACCTGCAGGTTGGAAGCAGCCCCCGGGGCCAGGTCCCACTAGCAAAGAGGATTGGATTGAAAGCCTGAATCTGGACTTTTTGGTGGAAAGGTGCAGAAAATCGACATTGAACTGCTTTTCTGCATCTCTGCTTAAAACACGTCCCGATTCAGGGGATTTATCCAATCCTCTTTGCTAGTGGGACCTAGCCCCCGCACGTTCTCTCATGAACACGGTTCTGGCTGCTACGGGGTTCCCCGTATGCCTACAATTAGGAGAAGTGGCAGGTAGGCAGTGTGGGGTGAAATTTAGAGAAGAATATAGCTCAAAAAAAAATAAAAATAAAAAAAAATCGTCTCCTGCAGCCAGGGGCCAAGTCCCATTAGCATCTATTTACTCTTGGCCGCCACGGTTTTCGGCGACGTGCGGCCAATGGTGACACTCGGCGACCGTTGATCCTTGTATGTATCCACGGCGCATGGCTCTGAGGACCGAAATCGTTAGGGGGAAAGTCCGCCAGCCAATAGAAGAGTTTGGATTTCTTTTTTTTGTCCATTTTGTAACGCGTTTTCCGTTGGCGCGAAGCTGCAATATAAGGATTGTCGGGGGGGGGGGGGGGGGGGGGGGGCGTTTTTGCATCGATGTTGTTTTCTTTTGTTTGAGGTAAAATGGAGAATATGATCCGTCAGTAATAATTTCCTGACGCGAGGCTTCGTAGCGCGCCGTCGGGATCGGTGTCAGTGTTCTGACGTTATGTCTTGCAAGCATGGGTGTATGTGTCCGTAATAAGGTCGCGGTGAGTTTGGCAACGTTTGAATTTGGTCTCTCTCCACGGCCTCATGCGTCCCCCGTTTATGTTTTGGTCGACGACGCAGCCCGTGCGGTCCATTCCAAACGAGGAAAGTCCCCATGTGGAAACGCATGGCATATCGTACAGCAAAGGGCGTACGATCGGCACACGAATATGGGTTGGGTTAAAAATCCATAGATTGGATGATCTTGGCCGCCGGGTACGGGAAAATACAGATTGTCGCGAGCCTTTTCGTGGGGAGGCAGGTGCTCATGCTAGCCCGACACGCATGAACCGTGAGGCCCTCACCCTGTAGCCCTCACAGACTGACATGCAAAAGTGGCATCTTGTGGACGTCGGGATATGATGTCTCGTTAAGGTCCGTTTCTCTCCGTCTCGCGCCTCTGCAGTTCGTCGTTTTGCACCGTCGCGTTATTGAACGCGGAAGAAGAGGAGCAGCCCTCCATGGCCCACTACTCGCAGCATGCAGGTCTGTCTTCTATCGAAGACTGGGGGTACTCGGAGACCCAGAATGAGGGCCCACCTGCTGCACGTTACGGTTCATCATCACTAGCGGCTGGAGAGCAACAGCAGTGTTACACGCATGATGGCTGCAAGTCCCAATGTCCCATTGGAGACAAGGTGGGGGCAAATGTCGGAGGACCGGAGGGAGATTTGCAGCAGGCCCACAGGAGATCTGTGTTCTTGTTCGGGGGTCCAGCATGGAGCGGGGGGGGCGTTCGTGGGCCGGAGAATGCACATGTCACAGCTCCTGTGATCGATGTCCCACTGCCGTCTGTAGTGACAGGTCACGGACAGTTGCCATCTCCGGTTTCGCCCGTGGCGGGGTTCCGAATGGGCTTAGGCGGAGACGATGAGGTTGCTCTTCGGCAGCGCCTGAGACTGCGTGCCATGGCTATGTCAGACGGCCTTTCTCTGTCACCGGACGAACGTGGCAGAGCTCCTGTCGCCCTCAGAACTCCGCCTCGTACCGACGGGAGCTGCCATGGCAGTCCTGGTCCCTCCACGGTCAGTTCCGTGGATAACGACACGACGGGGTGTCGTTCGTCACACACACCTGCAGCATTGTCGCCGAATCGGCAAGCGAGTTTCCGACTGTCACCTGAGTCAATCCGTGGTGACGCTTCACCGCAGCCGCATGTGCCACACACCGGGTCGCCGGAGTACGTCATCAACCGCATTATTCGGGAGAATGAAGCCGGTGGACTGTCCAACCAGGACTGTGATCCAAGGCGGTTGCAGGTCCGACGGCCCCATGGCGCACCACTCCCCCACGTGTGCCCTTTGAAGGTGTGAACACCCCGTCTCCGGTCAGTGGCCAGTCCACGTCGCAGAACACTCCATGCAGTGTGGAGAACGTGGCGGGCACGTCCACGACAAGGCCATCCGAAGCCCCCCCCACAAGACCGCCGCCTGCGGAGAAGAATACGGATAGGTGGGGGGAGACTGAGACTGAGTGGTTGTGCCGGTTCAGGAATGAAGTGAAGACTCTTATGGGGGAAGAGACAGAGCCGTTGGGTCGGGCGAGGTTGAAAACAGGTTTCTGGAAGGATGTGGAGCAGCGCATGAAGGGGAAGGGTTTCAACCGTAACGCTGAACAGTGCAAGAACAAGTTCAACACACTCCTGGACTACTACCGAAGATTGAAGGCGCACAAAAGTTGGTCTGGTTTGCCGAGTTATTGGGACATGAACCAAACGAGGCGGAAGAAGTACAACGTCGACTTTGTTTTGCGTCGTGCAGTGTATGACATCATACACCCAGTGGAGAAAGACAAGGACTCCATTAACTTGTCGAATTTGATGGACTCAGGGGCGGACGAGGAGCGTCTTGAAGACAGCGAGAGGTGCAACAACGTCGATGCTGAGACGGAAGGAGGAAGCGAAGACCCTGCGGTCGGGTCGGGCAGTTCACCAGGCCTTGGGGGTTCATCGGGCGGGCAGCGTTCAACGGGCTTCGGTCCGGTGCTGGGTAAACGGCGGCGATCCTACGTTAATGCTCGCGAGTCAAGTATGCATGCTGTGACAGGTGCTATGCGTGATCATACCGCCGCTCTGACACGTTCTGACAGGGAGTGCGTGAAGATGCGTTGCGAAGCGACACGCGACATCGCAAGGCACCAGGCAGAGGTTAATCGGGAGTTAATGCAGCAAGAAATAGCGTCACGTGAGAGAATAGCTACCATAACTGGGGAGAGGGTTGAGAAGGGTTATCTCATTCTTGCAGACGCCATTCGGAGTCTGCGTCGTCGTAGTAATAGTCCATCTTCTGGGCCGGATAGCAGCGATTCGCGGTAGTTGTAGTTGTATTTATGCGTCGACGTTGGTTTCGTCGCAGATGGTGTTCCGAAACATTAAAAGTTTTTTGTTGTCTCATACTTTTTATATGGCTGTGTAGACCGACGCAACAGCACTTCAAGCTTCATGATAGTCTTTCGGAGTTGATGTGCGTTATCAGCAATACGGTCTTGTTTATCTTCAAAGGTTGTTCTTGGAACGATTCTGATGTTGGAACAGCAATACGGTCTTCCATCTTGTTGTTAGTGTTGTACTTGGAACGATTCTGATGTTCCTCTCTCTCTCTCTCTCTCTCTCTCTCTCTCTCTCTCTCTCTCTCTCTCTCTCTCTCTCTCTCTCTCTCTCTCTCTCTCTCTCTCTCT